TAATGAGATTGAAAGACAATTAGATAGGAAAGTGAAAATCATTAGGTCAGATAAAGTATAACGAATCAAAACAATGTCCAGATCCATTTAAAAAATTCCTTGAGAATGGTGAAGTTGGTGGGAGTGTTGAACGACAAAGTGTGGATATTAATGAGGTAACAGTAAATATTTCATTGTCCATGAATGTACCTACTTCCGCACCAATCACAAATGTTGTTCCTCTTGTTGAAGAACACTTTAACAATGTTGAACAACATTTGGGTGAAACACTTCAAGAAGGAACTAACTCACAAGTAGTTGACACAAATGAACCACAAACAATGCCATTAAGAAAATTGATCATTTCAGATGATTATGTGATTTATTTGCAAGAGTCATATTTTGACATTGAAATTAATAAAGATCCGGCTTTATTTTCATAGGCCACAGAAAGCACTGAGTATGATAAATGGATTGATACCATGAATGAAGAGTTAAAATCTATGGAATACAACAAAGTCTGGGATCTCTTTCACTTACCAGAAAGTACTAAAAAAATCAGGTGTAGATGGGTCTTCAAGACCAAACGCGATTCAAATGGTAATATTGAACGATATAAAGTCAGACTTGTTGCCAAGGGATACACTCACAAAGGAGGCATTGATTATAAAGAGACCTTTTCACCAGTCTCAAAGAAAGACTCATGAAGAATTGTTTTGGCTTTGGTAGCTTATTATGATTTAGAGTTACATCAAATAGATATGAAAACTGCCTTTCTTAATGGAGACCTCGAGGAGGATGTTTATATAGACCAACCAAAGGGTTTCGAAATTAAAAGAAAAGATCAAATAGTGTGTAAACTAAAGAAGTCAATATATGGACTCAAACAAGCCTCACAACAGTGGTATATACAGTTTAATGATACCATAACAACTTTTGGATTTAAGGAAATTACCGTTGATCGGTGTATATACCAAAAGATTAGTGGGAGTAAGTTTATATTTGTAGTCCTGTATGTTGATGACATTTTACTTGCTGCTAATGATTTAGGCATATTGCGTGAGACGAAATACTTTCTCTCTATGAACTTTGAAATGAAAGATATGGGTGAGACATCCTATGTGATAGAGATAGAAATATTTCGTGATAGATCACAAGGATTATTGGTACAGTCTTTAAAGGCTATATCGAAAGAGTTCTAGAGAGATTTAACATGAACAATTGTTCAGCAAGAATAGTTCCTATTAAAAAAAAGGACAAATTTAATCTCATGCAATGCCCAAAGAATGATGTAGAACGAAAGAAAATGAAATCAATTCCTTAATCTTCTATTGTTGGAAGTTTGATGTATGTTCAAACTTGCACATGACCGTTTATTAGTTTTTTGGTCGAAATGCTAGAAAGATATCAAAATAATCCTGGAATTGATCACTAAAAAAAAACTACAAAGAAAGTTTGTGGCATGTTATGAAGCCACAATTCATGCATTATGGCTGCGGAACTTCATTTCAGGACTTGGGGTTGTCGACACCATTACCAAGCCGCTGAAAATTTATTGTGATAATGTTGTTGTAGTATTTATCTCCAAGAACGATAAGTACTCCAAATGTGCCAAACATATGGAATTAAAGTACTTTACTGTTAAGGAAGAAATTCAAAAACAAAGAGTGTTACTTGAGAATATTAGAACTGATCTCATGATTGTAGATCCGTTAACAAAGTGCTTACAACCAAAGACATTTAAAGAACATGTTCAAAGAATGGGTCTTGGTTGTACTTATGATTAATACATTTATGATGTTTTTACACTCTGAGCTCAATTATGTGTTTCTGATATACATTAATGAATTTCTTGTTTCTCATAATGGTGTACACATTATTGTTTTGAGATATTACAAGATAAGTCTTTATGAGACATTATTGTGGACCATAATGTTATATGTTTTATAGCTTATGAACCTAGTATGATAAGTTGCTAATGTAGTAGTATATGGAAGGAAGTATGTAGCTTAAAAATTTATGTGCAACCGCCATAACTCGCATTAGTAGTTTGTTATATTGTGGTATGTATGCTGGACACTATAGAAGAAATTTATTGTATGCGCAACTAATGTTTATTAAATATTAATGTTATATGGTCATTGGGCCAAGTGAGAGAATGTAAGAATTATTATTGATTATTTCTTACTTATGGCCCAAATTTACTTATAACCCAAGTAACCATAAATAATATTTAATAAGGAATAGATCTCGTCCGTACATTGATTACTTCATGGACGTACCAGATTAAGTCATAACCTCTATAAATTGATCCTCCCTCCACGGTACTTCACCGCCTTTCTTCTTCATCTTCTTCCCTGAACTTTTCCCAAATCACAAAACTCAACTTCTTGTCAAATTACTTACAAATTCAACTTTTAAAAATAATAATTTCATACCTAATACGTGAGAGAAAGATATAGAGAGAGACTTGTACAAGAGTGATTAAGAAGCGGAATTTGTTGATGGATAATCATTTCAAAATCGACTGCAAAAGAGAAATCAAGAGGACCAAAATTAATTTTATCGAATTCTCTGATATTATTTTTTATAAGTTAAATGGGTTTACATTTTAATTTGAGTGGTGATGTTTGTTTGGAGATGGCCGGAAATGGAGTTGGATGAACGTCGGCTAAATTTTTTACTCCAGTGTCCAAAAATCTTTTTTTTTTTATTTTTTTTTTGCAAATCCAATTAGTTGATTTTTCTAAAAAAAATAGACACAAGATGCAGTTGACTTTGAAAACCTAATTGAGGTGAAGAAGATGACTAAAAGTGTGTGTGTGGGGTCCAGTGAGGGGGAGGGCCTTTTTTTTTTGGATTAAAAAATTATTATTTTCAAAAAAATTTAAAAATTCTTTTAAGTTATTTACAATGCCGAAAAAAATTAAAATAAAATACGATTCCAAATATTTTCACGCGCCAAAGGAAAGTGAAAAACACGTTTTCTGCCATATCAACATTTTGCGTTTAATAGGCACATGTTTTGAACAATTTAGGTGCTCAATAAGTACTAGCCTTAGTTAGGGTGTCTAAGTGAATATGCGGACAACTTTAATGGGTCGTAGATGACTTAAGTCATACTTTTATAATAGACATAATTAACACATAATATTTAGGGTTAAGTCATCTGCGGCCCCTTAAAGTTGTCCGCATAATTCACTTAGACACCTCAACTAGGAGTTGTACCTATTGAACACTTTTACCGTTCAAAACATGTACCTATTGAATACTTTTTGGTGACATGGCATCTTGAGTGTAATACACATCCCATAAAGCGAGTGAAGCCAATTTTCTTTTTTGCGGACGAATCAAAATTGGACATGTCACCATTAGAAAAATCATAATTTGAACCTATAAAAAAAGTTTTTAAAAAAATCCATGTAGTCATCTTCCCCAATGGACTTCTCAATCTAATATTCTCATCAGACAACTTCCTTTGCCACCATCCCTGACACACCTCTTTTTCCATCTATTCTTGCATTCTTTCTTTCTTTCTAGCATCATTCCGTCATTATCAATATCGTCGTTGTTTTTTTCATCGGAAAAGTATCAATTAAAGAAATAAAAATCAAATTGAGTAAAAAATAATTCCGGTGAAACTCCATTATTCCGACAAGATTAATACGAATTTTAAATTATTTTCTTTGAAATCGTTAAAGAATTCAAATTCTGAAGAACACACAACATGAAGAAGAAGAATTATAAACAAATCTTGATTGTTGTTTGAAAAAGAGAATGAGATTGGGAAAAATAACAACTACAATATTGAAACAGAATAAAGGAGAGGAGATAGGTGTACGGTTATTGGAGTGTACGATTTTAGCCAGAAGTGATTGTGCGTGTTTCGGCGAAAAAGAAAATGGGAAGTATGACACACAATTTCTATTTATAGTTGATTATAAAAAAATGTTCAATAGGTAATTTTTTTTACTAATAAAAGTGTTCAATTGGAATAAGCCTAAGATGAGATGTCTAAGTGAAATATACGGACAACTTTAAGTGGCTACAGATGACTTAAGCCTAATATTTAACTTGACATTAGCTGACATCCATGCTCTCTAACTTTGGAATTGCACAAGTAAATACTTAAACTTGTATAAATTTGAACAAATAGGCACGCATGCCTTATGTGGCATAAAACACGTAGGAACTAGGTCATGTAGAATGTGAATTGACACTTAAAACGTCATGTATGACGTGTGTCTCCTTGTCCACACCCAAAATTGGAGGACATCTAGTTAGGGGTGGGCATGGTATGGTATATACCGAATATCATACCGAAGTATATAGTTACATAAATAACATATATATATATATTATAAATACTAACAAATATGCAACCTAGTATTAGTATATACTAAATGCTTAGAAGTTGAAACTTTGATTATTCTATTTTGATTGAAATGAATTTGAAATTTAATTGATTGACAAAAGGAGTTGTTTATATTTTATTTTGAATATATATTTCTACATGTGTAATGTGTTAGTATGAGACACTTGAGATCTTTTTTTAATTGTCAAAGTCATAATACTCTACTATACGAGTATATATTAGTCGAAGTTAAACAAACTATGATTACCGATTTACCATACTGTAGAATACCAAAACCGAACTTCAAAATATCGAACCATACCGAATTGAATTAGTATGGTAATAGTATAATGTTTCAGAAACCGAATATCAAAATTATGGTATCAACACTTTGAAATACCATACCGTACCATATCATGCTCATCCGTACATCTAGTTGATGTCAAGTTAAACGACATACTTATATATTATGTCTTTATAATATCTTCCTTATTTTTATGGTATAAACTTCTTAAACTGTATCATACCCTTTTTCTTTTGTTGTGTGTTATACTTTCTTTTTTTAAGTATATCTGATAGAAAATATTATATTTTTTAATTAAAAATAATTTTAATTTAAATAATTTTTCTAATTTTATATTTATTCTAATAAAAAAATGAACACGGAGGAGGGAGGGGTGAATTGCTAATCCCTTGTCAATCTTCCCGATGCGTTTTCTGCAATTATGCGTCACATGCTTTGTTGTCTTTGCATTGAGTTGATACAGTTACAGGGGTCTGCCTCTTCCTTCTCGGGGTGCCAAAAGACCCATTCTTACCCATCTATATTTTCACTCTATAAATAGCAAAATTACCCATTGTTTTGCTGAAAGAATTAAGGATATTTTGAGAGAAAAAAGATGTTGGTGATGGGAATAAGCTTGCAATGTTTGATGGACTTGGTTGTAGCTGGATTTTCCCTAATGATTGGGTTGGGAATTTTCGCTTTTATTGCTTCAATTTTATGCTCTGCTGCTTTCTATCAGAATGCAAAGCAACTTTCTTGAAACCCCTTTATGGATTTAGGTATGAAGATTTCTGAATTTTTCTTATTTGGGTCTTCCAAATTTTACTTTTCTTGGTAAAAAGTTCTTTCCTTTACTTCAAGTTAGCTTCAAAATTTAGTCCAATTGAGAATGGTCAGTATAATTCAGAATAGGTTTCTATTAATTTGTGGGATTTAGTATCGTAGTGTTCAAGCCAACTTTCGCGCCCATGCACTAATTGCATAGGAACCAGATAACTCTATCCACCAAGACGGACAAGACTAAGACATATGGGAAGAATCACAATTGTGTTTTTGTGGGATTATTTATATGAATGGTTATTGAGAATTCATTTAGGATTTAGACTTTAATGGAATGATTAATGAGGAATAGCTTACTCCAAATAGTTTTGGTCTAAGATGTTTTTATTGTTGTTGTTTGTACAATTATACTTTCTCATTATGAAGATGAGCAGCAACACTTTGTTTGAAGATATGAAAGGCCTTGATTTCATGATTCTATCATACTCTAATTTTGGTGGCGAACTAATGAATAAATGCTAGGAAATATTCATTGAGTACTCTAAATCATTTGATAGATTATAAAACGAAGGTAAATTTGATCTAGAATCCTATTTTTTTAATGGATAAGCTTCATGTATAGTGCTTGTGGACCGAAATTTGGATCAGGGTGATGCAAAGTACCCTTTAAGGTGTTGAGTTTATCATTTGTTGTAAATGAAGGGTGTGAAATTCTATGAGTTCTCTTCTTTGCACATATCATTTCTTTGGCCATATTCATCTTAGAGTTGAACTCATGCTGCCTTTGTACCCGATATTTATTCGGTTATAGGTTGCCCCTATGTGATTGCTAGTATGTAGGGAGAGATAGATTAGGATGTGATATTGATAGGGAACTTGTCATGTTTTAACAAAGTGACTGAAGGTTGTTTAGTAGTAAATGGAGAAGAGAACGCTGGTATTGTTGTATACACCTTGGGTACATCTTTGAACCGTACAATTTCTTTACGAGCTTGTTCAAATACTCTGGATGGATTTTGCTTTTGACCTCTCTGTGGAGATGTCAAGATTCTTCTGTGAACTGATTGAGATTTTGGGTTAGGCAAATGTTAAATGATTGTATTCTAGACATAAGCTTTCTATATAAGATGCTAGAATCCACTTTGGAAGCACGGTGCTCCTTCTTGTTTTGTAGTCTACAGTCTAATACGAGGTTTATGCGTGGATATCTTATATCTGTCACCTTAAGTCCCTGGCATTCCCACTGTCGTTAGCGCTAAGCAGCGTTCTATATGATGTAATACTTGAGGCAAACTAGAGTATTAAACTAAAAAGGCCTGTGTCTCTGGTCAGTCTTAAGACAAGTTGGTAGTGCCTTCTCTGTCTTCAATTATGAACCGTGACATATCCTATAGATGTTAGTGACATAAACAATGACCATATGAGCTCTTGCATCAGGTAGATAAACTCCACGCAGATTTTATAACTTCACTAGGCATGAAACTGAGATAGAATTGTACACAGTTGTCTATATTGAGTGGATCGATAAATATGCATGAAGTTATGATTTGATAAATTGAACTTGGAACTATATAGAAGTGGTTTGTGTAGTACATTTATCTTCTTATGTGATTGGAAAGTATTGTTTAGAATGAGGAACCTTTCTTTCCAGAGTGAACAGTATTTAGTGAACAAAAGGAATGGAAGGACAATCCGTTTGGGGCTTATATGCCTAATGCAAGATCTTTACCTATAGGAGTTTGTGGTTGATAGTTTCAGTCAACTGTAAATCGAACTTCCCAAAAGGGATCATCCCTCCCCCATCTTCACCCACTCCAAGAAAAGAGCAAACGGTAGATTTCTTTAAAGGACAGAGGAAGTCTGTGAAATTAGTCAGTAACATCTTCTTAGAATTCCCTCTGGCTTCAAGAAAGCAAGAGCAGGCAAAGTTCTGGTACTTCCTTTTTAGATATACTTTTCTGTATTGTATTTTTATAGGGTAATCGTTGTCAATAAACCTTTGTTCTTTCCCCTGTCATATTATAAAGGAAAAAAAGACCTCAGCTTGGAGTTGTATTCTAGCCCCACCTTCGTGAATAAACCATTTCCCTACGGACCATAATTTCACGGGGAAACTAGTGTTAATTACTCATATGCATTCTATGGATGTGCTTGCATATGAGGCGAGGATCTATTGGAAACAATCTCTCTACCCCGACAAAGGTAAGGGTAAGGTCTGCGTACATCCTACCCTCTCCAGACCCTACTTGTGGGATTACACTTTTGTTTGCATTTGAGTTCACTTTGAAGAAGTTTTGCTAACGTTATTCCTTCCTTCTGTAGTTATCGGTATTTTCCCGTCATAAATTAACTGATTATCGTTTTCATTTATGCAGGATAGAAAAAACATAAGAAATAAAAGTTGTCGTCCTTCCACTATCTCCTACATGAATCTGGCACTCTTGCCTGCTTGTAAGCCAGGAACTGCATGGAGAGGATAAACTGAACTGATAAGTAGAGCCCATTTTAACTGTTTTGTTGTTTGTAATAGGTAGAGAAAAGTATGTGCCCTTAGAAAAAAGGCATTTGTTTTGCAATAGAGAAATGAATATGCAGTTTTGAGACAGCCAGCTATTTCCCCTTCTGATATATAAATAGTTTGATATTTTAGAAAAATAAGAAGGAATTTTTTATTATGTTTTACAATTCTGTCTTTATTGTCTTTCATTCTTAACCAGAGGTCTCGGGTTCGAGTTTCCTTTATTAGAGAGCGTTTCTACCCTCAATGTGGGACTATTTGATGCGAATTTGGATTTAGTCGGGCTCTAATATGGTATCGAACACCGGGTGAAAAATAAATAAAAAAACACTAATGGAATGCTAATAATTAAGTGAGTAATTTAACAGAACACTTAGTTGAGTGTGGCTCGTACGTGTACACAACACTATGATTTTATGTATTATACTTAGTTAAGGCATGAAACATACATTAGTCAAGCACAATAATAAAATGTTAAGGGGGTCTACTGTACAGTTGAAATATTAAAAATACATTAGCCAATATTGTAAATATAATTTCAAAGTTATGACTTATATATGTCATTTCTTCTACTATTTGTTTCCTTTAATCCAGCCGCCTCTTGATTGTTATTTTTTCTATTTATTACAAGTCAGTTATTATATATTGAAATATATTATTATTTAATACTAAGATTAAAATAAATATAAAATAATAAATTATCTCTTGATTTTTAAATTCGACAAGTAAAAGTGAACATCTAGTTTTAGTGCAGCAACCTGTAAAAGTGGTCGGAGGGAGTAGTTGACAAAAACTCGATTTGTTATTGTTTTTGGATCTCCAAAACATGGGCTAAAGTATCAATTTTATAAGATTTGAGTGGTGAAAATCATATTATATTAGAAAGATAACACACTATTATTGAACAAGCTAAGTTTGTAGAAGTGGTTTGAATTTCAAATATGACTTTTATGAGAAATTTTGAGTGGATATTGCGTTTGTTTAGAGTGTCTACAAAATTTGAAGTTGTTTTGTGTAGATTTGAATTGTTTTTCAACAGAATTGTAACTGAAAATCAGAAAAGAAGTTTGTCTTAACTAGATATATAATATACACTTCTATATAAGATAAATATATTTTTATACAAGAATAATATATTATTTATATTGGTGTATAATTACTATACTATATATAATACTAATATATAAATAGTATATGAACATTGTTGTATAAAAAATTGTTGATTATGCAGGTGTAAACTGAAAAGTAGAGCTTCAATATGAGTGCAAAATGTTGTTTTTGGATCGTAGATTTTTGAAAATTCTTGTCAACAATTTAACAAGTAGTTGATATTTGACATTTTACAATAAATAGTTAACAGAAGATTCTTAAAAAATGAATAACAAAGAAATGTCAGCATGACGTAATATTTGGTTGAAGAATTAATTAAATAATAGCCTCACCTACCATTTAGAGGCCATAGTTGACTGTCCCCTTCACCTACCAACGCACCCCACCCATTTTTTCACATCATGCTCTTTTTATTACTAATATATAATATTTAATTACTACACTAAAATGATTTATTACTAATAAAATGATTACTACACTAAATGGTAATAGCTTAATTATTGTTAAATATGTGTTTTTAGTAGTATTCTTTATAAATGTTCTTAAAATTTATAGCGACATTGGATCCAATGATAATTAACTAATGTTAAGATTTTAACACTCTTTGTTAATGCGCATATTTATTGCCACAGAAAAATGTTTTTGTTATAGTAAATGTATTGTAAATAGTAAAAGTCTCGAGTTCGAGTCTCCTTTAGTACGAAGTCGCCTTTATTAGGAAGCATTTTAGTCTCAATATGAGACTTTCCTGCGCGAATCCAGATTTAATTAGACTCCAATATAGATACTGGATACTAGGTGAGAAATCATAAAAAAAATGTTAATCGGAACTGTACTTAAGGGTGTGACCTGTGATCAATGAAGTGGTTGAGAACCTTGACGTCTAATGTTCAAAACTCAAAGACACAAAAAACACAAGATGATTCTTCCCATATGTCCTAGCCTCGGTGGACAGAGCTACCTGCTATCTATTGCTGGTGAGAAATGACTGCCCGTGAAATTAGCCGAGGCCCGTAAGTGAGAAAACTTAACTAATAAAAGTGTGCGCTCTTAAATAAATATATATATATGAAAAATGTTGACAAAATATCATTAGTTCAAAAAGGACCGTATTATTGGAGATTCATGAGAATACTATAAACAGCCGCCATGGTTTGACAGAAAAAAAAAGAAAAAAAGCCAACGCGTTTGATTTGAACGTGAGTCCACACCATTGAATTATATCTTTATTTATACTCAATTTTCTATCAATCTCAACAACCCCATTACAATTATTTGAATTAAAACTCATACTTTATTGGTTTGAAGCAAATCTTGGTTTTTAATTGAAGTTAAAGAGATTCTTGAATCAGTTTAATCTGTTAAAGGTTTGATCTTGATTACCCATTTCATATTTTTTGTTGTTGTTTCATTTACTTGAAGTAGATTTTGTCATCTGAATTATATGGTGAATCTTGGTACTTGGTTGAGGTAATAGTAGGTTTTGTTCAATCAGCTTAATCTGTCAAAGGTATTATCTTTATTTGTGATTGTTTAGTTTTTGAGTCATTTTAATCTGTTAAAGGTTTGATCTTTATTTGTGATTGTATAGAGTTTTGAGGTTATTTTAATCTGTTAAAGGTTTGATCTTTATATGTGATTGTTTACAGTTTTGAGGTCAGTTTAATCTGTTAAAGATTTCAGCTTTATTTATGATTGTTTAGAGTTTTGAGATCAGTTTAATCTGTGAAAGATTTGATTCTTTAGTGTTGGACTGTAATCTGGCCTAGATTCTTCGATTCGGGTAGGAGTTGCTCATTGTATTACATTTTGGTGTTTTATGATTGAATTGTTTCCATTGCTGGTAGATATTATGGTACCTGTGATTTATAATTCTTGGTTTTCTTAGTTATTGTCCTCAATTTTTTTTGTGACTTTTTGAGCACATTTTGTAGCTACTTCATGTGCTTATAGGTGAGAATGTTGGACCTTTACTTTCCATTTCATCAGATGGGGAACTATGTTGCTCTGACTCTCCAAAATTGTTGCTGAACTCGTACCGGGTCCTCCAAAATACACTACTTTTGGAGGATTCGACACGCACTCTCTACTACATTCTTGAAGAGTCCGAGCATCATAGATGAGGAATCTAGATATTTTACTTGGTGCTTTTGTTTGCAAGAATCATCCTTTTGTTTGCACTTTTTTTGTATTTTAGGATAATTTAATCTATTATCATACTATCTGCTTTTTGGTAAAGCCATTTGGACTCGATTTTTCTAATTTTGCTTCCCTGATCTTGTTAATAATGTGTTGATTTAGTTTTCGAAAGTTGTGGCTCAAATGCTTTCCTCCGGCGCCTGGTTTCATTTATCAGCCTGATCTTCTTGTGGTGTTAGCCAAATCATGGCCCATTTGCTTAGATTTTGTGGTGGTATTGACCTTCCTGAGTTCATAAATTGAGTCGATTAGCAAGTTTTGACTAAGCTCGTTAGTTGAGTCTATTCATAATTCAAGAAATTTTCTAAACATGGGTTATGTAGCATTGAAGGTAAACAGGATATGTGAATTGAGATGGACAATAGGAGAGTTGCATATAAATCACTTGTGTCTTTATTTGCTCATTCTCTTTGGTATCGTTCTTGTCATCTGCAAACCTGTCTTTTAAAGTCATATTTAAGGAGTCCGAATTGCCATTTCCTTGAATTTTGTTTTTGGATTGATTAAGTCACATCTTAAGCATCAGCAAATCAATGATAAACCATTCTTAGTGTTTTTTGATTGATGCAAAAATACGTTTTATTTGATCAATCCAGTACAAATGTAAAAATGACAGGAAGTTCATGCAGAATCTGCTTCAAAAATTGCTGAGATTAGTTCTCTTTATTTCTACTCTGTTGCTCTTTGAACCATTCCTGTTTTCATTTCATTGTAAGGGAAAATGACATTCTCGCATCTTCTTATAACAGGTAACCAACATGGCTACACCGACAAGAATTGGTCTTGCTGGGCTTGCTGTTATGGGACAAAATCTTGCTCTCAATATTGCTGAGAAAGGATTTCCTATATCTGTTTACAACCGATCCACTTCAAAAGTTGATGAGACCGTTGAACGAGCTAAAAAGGAAGGCAATCTTCCTCTTTATGGCTTTCATGATCCAGAGTCCTTTGTACTTTCTATCCAAAAGCCCCGTGTCATAATCATTCTTGTCAAGGCTGGTTTACCAGTTGATCAGACCATCAAAACCCTTTCAGCTTTCATGGATAAAGGAGACTGTATCATTGATGGTGGCAATGAATGGTATGAAAACACTGAGAGGAGAGAAAAAGAAATGGCTGAGCTTGGTCTTCTTTATCTTGGAATGGGAGTATCAGGTGGCGAAGAAGGTGCACGCAATGGACCCTCAATGATGCCTGGAGGTTCTTTTGAAGCCTACAAATACATCGAGGACATCTTACTAAAGGTTGCAGCTCAAGTTCCTGACAGTGGCCCTTGTGTAACATACATTGGTGAAGGAGGTTCTGGAAATTTTGTTAAGATGGTTCATAATGGAATTGAATATGGTGACATGCAGTTAATTGCAGAGGCTTACGATGTACTAAGATCTGTCGGCAAGCTCTCTAACGCTGAATTACATCAAGTCTTCTCAGAGTGGAACAAAGGAGAGCTTTTGAGCTTCTTGATTGAAATCACTGCTGATATATTTGGAGTCAAGGATGATAAAGCAGACGGGTATTTGGTGGACAAAGTTTTGGATAAAACTGGGATGAAAGGTACTGGTAAATGGACTGTTCAGCAAGCCGCTGAATTGTCAGTTGCTGCACCTACAATAGCTGCATCATTGGATTCAAGATTCCTTAGTGGGTTAAAAGATGAAAGAGTTCAAGCAGCCAAAGTATTTGAATCTAGCGGGGTTAGTGATATCTTTGTTGAGCAGACCGTGGACAAGAATCAATTGATTGACGATGTGAGAAAGGCACTTTATGCATCCAAAATATGTAGCTATGCTCAAGGCATGAATTTGATAAGGGCAAAGAGTGTTGAAAAAGGATGGGACTTGAAACTAGGGGAGCTTGCTAGGATTTGGAAGGGTGGTTGTATTATCCGTGCTATATTTTTGGACCGGATCAAGGGGGCTTATGACAGAAACCCAGATCTTGCTAACCTACTCGTGGATGAGGAGTTTGCAAAAGAGATGGTTGAACGTCAGTCTGCTTGGCGAAGAGTAGTCTGCCTAGCTATAAACTCAGGCATTAGCACACCGGGTATGTCTTCAAGTCTTGCTTACTTTGACTCATACAGGAGGGAAAGTCTTCCTGCCAATTTGGTTCAGGCTCAAAGGGATTACTTCGGTGCTCATACTTACGAGAGGATTGATGTGCCAGGGGCTTTCCATACTGAGTGGTTCAAGATTGCCAAACAGTCGAAGAACTGAGTTCTTCTGATGTTTTCCTTTTATTTTGACCTGATTGAATAAAGTTCTTGTTTTCATTGAATCTAGGAGGTTGTTAGGTCCTGTTAGTATCACCTTGTCATGTGGTCTCTCAAATGTTGGAACTTTACCTATGTTGTTGTTCATCCTATTTGTATTGTGCCTTTTCTCGCATTTCATGTCCTTTTAGTTACATACAATCATATAAAAACAGAGAATGTATTTTTCCATGTGCATTTCTCATTTTCTTTTGTTATTTGAGACCATTTCTCTACTCCATCATCTTACATTTTTCAAATGTTGTGCATGCTAGTATCTTCTTTTTGTTATATAACCGTGGTGTCAAGGCCAACTTTCGCTCATTCCACGAGAAACCTCCCACCAACAACAGGTACCAGGTAATTCTGTCTACCAACGCTAGGACAGATGGAAAGAAATCATCTTGAGTTTTAGTCTTTGGTGAACCTCTAAGACCTCATGGTTCTCAACTCACTTCATTGATCACTGAGCCACACCCTTGGATGCGTGCATGCTAGTATTTGATTCTGAAAATCGTCATAGACCTGTTTGTATCATCAAAACCAGGAAAGATCTGTGTTGCAAATTTTCCTTGTGTTTTTGTGGAGCTTTCACATCTCTCTTTTCCCCCCTTTTGATGAGTTCTGAGTATCACTTCAACAATTTGCTAGTTGTTATTGTGTGAATATAAAGTGTGCAAATATTAAATAACATAATATAATAGTATTTATTAACTTTTCCATTTGACATTCTTAATATTTATTATACATTCAGACGATAAGTAGGAATAACCATTAGATGTTGAGCTCTAGTCATAACTAAACCAAATTTCTCAGTCATGTCTAAATCATTCGGCATCATACCATTTGGTAACTTCCAATCAAAACAATGAACCATTTGTGCTAGCACCAGGCGAACGGTTGTGAGTCCTAATTGTAATCCAGGACAACTTCTTCTTCCAGAGCCAAACGGTAAAAGTTGAAAATTATTTCCACGAAGATCAATGTTACTACCAACAAACCTTTCTGGCATGAACTTCTCGGGTTCTGACCAAATTTCTGGATCTCTTCCAATCGCCCAAGTATTTACTAGAAGTCTTGAACCTTTAGGTATATCAAAACCATCAATTGTGCAATCTTCAATAGACTCATGAGGAATCAATAGTGGTGCAACAGGGTGAAGCCTAAAACCTTCTTTTATGACCATGTCTAAGTACTCTAATTTTTCCAAGTCTGATTCTTCCACCATTCTATTCATGCCAACTATTTGTTCCAATTCCTTTTGTAATTTCTTAATTACTTTTGGATGCCTTAAAAGTTCAGTGAAAATCCAGTCAATTGCTGTTGATGAGGTGTCCATTGAAGCTATTAACATGTCCTGCATAAAGAGTTATTTTTCATTTGTTAAATTAATTAACATTCACATGTATGCTAACATACTTTTAAATAGAATTTAAGTTACCTACGCTATTAGTACTCCTATCGTCCTCTTTTAGTTGTCATGTTATGCTTTTCGAAAGTCAATTTGACTAATTTTCAAAGTTAAATTAGATTATGTTAATTTGATATTTTAAACTAAAAATTTAGATATTCAAAAACTATACAAAAAGTACTATAAATTGTAATTTTTTGCATATCAATATGATGAAAAAAATACATCGTAAAATGTTATTTAAAGTTCTTATTATCATTTGACTCTAAAAAAGAAAACCACGAAACTAAAAGGGGACGGAGGGAGTATAAGATACTCCTTACATTATCACGTCATTCCAAAGGAGGTCTACACGTAAGCCTCTTTAAAAATGTGGAATTTGTAGTTTTAAAAATAAGGCAGGTTATCAACTATATAAAAAATTAAAATGACCTGATAACTAGACGTAAGTGTCCTTATGTGTTCTGAATTCTTAAATAACTTCTCCAAGTTTTCACAACTAAATTCTAAACTGAGTCCTAATTGTAATCCAGGACAACTTCTTCTTCCAGAGCCAAACGGTAAAAGTTGAAAATTATTTCCACGAAGATCAATGTTACTACCAACAAACCTTTCTGGCATGAACTTCTCGGGTTCTGACCAAATTTCTGGATCTCTTCCAATCGCCCAAGTATTTACTAGAAGTCTTGAACCTTTAGGTATATCAAAACCATCAATTGTGCAATCTTCAATAGACTCATGAGGAATCAATAGTGGTGCAACAGGGTGAAGCCTAAAACCTTCTTTTATGACCATGTCTAAGTACTCTAATTTTTCCAAGTCTGATTCTTCCACCATTCTATTCATGCCAACTATTTGTTCCAATTCCTTTTGTAATTTCTTAATTACTTTTGGATGCCTTAAAAGTTCAGTGAAAATCCAGTCAATTGCTGTTGATGAGGTGTCCATTGAAGCTATTAACATGTCCTGCATAAAGAGTTATTTTTCATTTGTTAAATTAATTAACATTCACATGTATGCTAACATACTTTTAAATAGAATTTAAGTTACCTACGCTATTAGTACTCCTATCGTCCTCTTTTAGTTGTCATGTTATGCTTTTCGAAAGTCAATTTGACTAATTTTCAAAGTTAAATTAGATTATGTTAATTTGATATTTTAAACTAAAAATTTAGATATTCAAAAACTATACAAAAAGTACTATAAATTGTAATTTTTTGCATATCAATATGATGAAAAAAATACATCGTAAAATGTTATTTAAAGTTCTTATTATCATTTGACTCTAAAAAAGAAAACCACGAAACTAAAAGGGGACGGAGGGAGTATAAGATACTCCTTACATTATCACGTCATTCCAAAGGAGGTCTACACGTAAGCCTCTTTAAAAATGTGGAATTTGTAGTTTTAAAAATAAGGCAGGTTATCAACTATATAAAAAATTAAAATGACCTGATAACTAGACGTAAGTGTCCTTATGTGTTCTGAATTCTTAAATAACTTCTCCAAGTTTTCACAACTAAATTCTAAACTATATATATATATATATATATATATATATAATGAATTTTTGAAATACAAAACATTACTATTTAAGCAAAAACTACGAAATTTGGTCAAATCGTACCTGAATTTCTAGATCCGCCCGAATGGACCAAATTCAAATGCATTAATATTGACTTATAATATGCGGTTAATGCAAAATAAATTAATATACTATCAAGTTATCCGAAGATATTTATAAGTAATTCGAAATAAAAGTGAAATTTGTGATCATGAAAATACGACAAGTTACCAATTATACTTCAATAAATATTAGTTAAACTCAATTAAAATTAACTTGCAATTCTATTTGTTTTATGATGAAGAAAACATTACCAGTAAAATAGCTTTCACATGACGACGATCAAACTCGAATTCAGATTCACCAGATTGCATGATATTCATCATAGTATCAACAATATCCTTGGTTTGCTTCTCCTTTTTGGAATCTTGAACATGTTCATCAATAATTCTCTCAAAAAATTCATCAAAAATCTTTGATAATTCCTTCATACGACGAACAACTCCTTGCAAATCAAACACATTAAGAAAGGGGAAAAATTCACCAATGTTTGGTGTTGCTGTTAAAACTAAAGTCTCTTGAATCACATATTTAAAACCCCTTTCATCAAATTCATCATCCATATATTTTTTCCCAAATACCATTAAACAAGTCATGTTAGTATTTAATGTAGCAAGTTTAGCACTAATATCAATTTCAACACCACTAGAAGCTGCCCCATTGATAAAAGTCACAAAATTTGTAACTTCTTGTTTTCTCATGGCTTGAAATGAATTGATTTTGAGAGTACTAAGCAATTCTAACGTACATAATTTTCGCATATTTCGCCAATAAGGTCCATATTTTCCAAATGTCAAATTTCTTTGATCATACGCGATGAATTTAGCAGCAATATTATTTGGTCGACTCGCAAAAATAAGATCATGATTTTTCAAAAATTGCTCAGCAGCATGAGGAGAAGAAGCAACAATTACAGGAACAAAACCAAATCTCATGCTCATTATGGGACCATATTTTTTGGCTATTTTATGAAGATCTTGATGGACATTTTTGCCAATCATATGAAGATTTCCAATAATTGGAAGCCCTTTTGGGCCAGGAGGGAGTTTTTTCTTCTTTTTCATGAATTTGTTGTGTAATTCTTGAAGAATGTATAGCACTACAAGTAGTGCAACAACTTGTAAGAATATTGAAGCCATGGATATAGAATTTTTTTTTTTTTTTTTTACTTCATAACTTGAAAATATTACTTTACTATTTATTATATATAGAGAAGGCTAGAAGGAGATACCTCATGAGTCATGATCCATGTGTTTGTTTTTAATCGAAGGCATTTATGTAACTTTTATATTTTTTTGTTTTAATATATTTATTCTATTTATTAAATTTTAAAAATTATGATAAAAATCTTATAAATCATGAGTATTAATAATTTAAAATATTTAAGTTTTAAAGAAGTTAGAAGGGATGGTAGTGAAATTGAAGATTTTTTGTTGGTTCTTGTGTTGAAATATCTACCATATTAATTGTGAATTTTGTTGGTTAGTGTTGAAAAATATCTACCATATTAATTGTTGTGGTCCATCTTAACAGTAACAAAAATCGGAAAAGACGAAGAGAAAAAGAATTTATAAAAAAAATGGGTGTGAGATTTAAAGAGCTCCAAATTAATGATAAAAGGCATTATCGATAAACTAGTTATATCCATAAGTATAAATTTCTTGGGATCAAACATAATTGATTTATGAATTTTGATTAAAGAATAATTAATTAATTACTGAAAATGTGTTAGAAAACAAGTGGTATGATCGAAATAATTAAGTGTCATGCGGAAGCTAACAAAACAAATCTCGATAGATCATGAGTAAAAAGACAAACGAGAAATATACCAAAAGAGAAAGAGTTAACGTGGTCCAATCAATCGACTTATGTCCACAAGAGGAGATGAGCAATCCAACATATAAAGAGAGTAAAAAATATAGAAAGGAATAACCTTATAAAATTTACTCAGAATACAAAGAGGTTCACACAATGATCATAACGCATCACTTGTGTCTAACTGTTTCTCTCCCTACACAAAGCTCTCAAAGCCTCCTAGGACTATATTGTGAATGCTACTAAAATATAAGGAACAAATATAGAGTCCTAAATTTTTTCTACGAAAAAAGGACTAGCAAAATATGAAAATTACATGTTCCCTTTACCTAAAAGGAAAATCCAATTATGATTAAAAAAAAAAAAAAAACTTAGGAAAAATACCAAACAACAAGAACATGCGTTTGTAAAGCAAAACACAACAGTAGTGTAGAAATTTTTTTGAGTGTATTATTTTTTTATAGGATCTAAAATTTGGTTGGATGAATTAATAAATACTATATTTGTATTGTATCGTATTAAGTGTATTTTTTTTTTTTAAAGTGATAATTGAATGGTATTGTAAGTTTAAAAATAATAATAATAACTTAAATGGATAATTTTTAAAATATGAGTGACGATTCACAAAATTTACTCACCAAAATATCTTAAAGAATTATGATATGTGGGGTCCATGTGAAGAAAATAACAGAAATGAGAAAAGACATATGATGGGAAGTAACTAATGGTGAAAGGGAGAGAGGCCTATATATCCCACATGTTGAATGTGTTTGACATATAAGTAAAGATAAGATCAAAAATTGGAAAAAAGAAAGATCGAGATGATTTGGACATGTAAAGAAAAAAAATGTAGATGATGAAGTATGAAGTGCAATATATTGGATATTGTGGAACGAAAAGAGGTGGAGGTAGACCAAAAATATTGAGAAGAGGTGATTAGAAAGGAATGACATAGCTTTATCTTGTCAAGTATATGACCTTAGATAATAATGTATGGAGGTTACCAGAGGCGAACCGAGAATTTGAAGACTTCATGTCCATCAATATTACTTTTAGCTCAAATATGAGCTCTAACCTAAGCTTAAAATAAAAACAATGAAAATGGTTGGATTCAAACCCTGGTCTCAAGGATGATTTCTCTGGCTTGTACCAACAACACAAGAACACTCTTATGTTACTCATGGCCATGGGTCATTGTTATTTCTATTCTAGTTGCTGCTTGTTTCTCAAAGTAGATATACATATATACATATGATTTTTTTCGAAATTAGCGGGTGCATGTGCACCCTTTCGTTCGCCTCTGAAGATCACGAATTAAAGTAAAAAATTAGTAGATAATGGAGTATCGAATATTGTAGTTTTTAATTTGGTAAAAAAAAATACCATATATTCTTAAAGTATTCGATCTTTTCCTATTATTGCTTTAGGTACACAAATCACAATCATCAAGATTGTCACCATGACAGTATTCTCACTTACTACAACCAAGATATATTACTATTACTAGATATGGGACCCCGTGCCAGCACGGGACCCAATATATGTTACTGTTTCTGTTTTAATTTATGTTATACATATGAACTTTGAAGTTAATTAATTTTTTAGTATGTTTTTATATATTTTAAGTTGTCTAATTATTTTTATTTAGTAGTATGTTTTACGTTAAATATATTATAAATCACAATAAATAACAAGTTAATTAAAAAAAAAACTTATAAAAAATTCATTGACTTTTAAAATTTCATTTGTATCACATAAATCAGGACCGAGTAATATATATGAAAATTACATAAAACGTACTATAACTCACAATAATTAGCAACTTAAAATATCTATATATCTATATTTCTCCCAATTTATGTAGTATAGATGAAATTTTGAAAGTTAACAAAAACTTTTTATATGTTTTCAAATATTTTAAGCTATTAATTATTATAATTTATAATACTTTTTACATAAAAAATTTATTTATATAAAGCATAAAAGAAAAAATTTAGAAAAAGGAAACATAAATGTCAGCAGGAGTCCAATTTATGTTAATTTCTATGTTTTAATTATTGTAATACCGATTGAATTTGGAGAGCCAACTAAAAAATTTTAAAGGTTTTTTTTTATAAATTTTAAGTTGTTAATTATTATAATTTATAATATTTTTATTAATTTTAAACCAATATATGTTTTTCTCTGTCTCAATTACATGAGACATATGGAATTCGGAGAGTCAACTAAAATTTTAAAATATGTT